CTTGCCAAGCACCTTGATAAATTTCTTACCAGCTCTCAGCATGGATTCAGAAGTGGATTGTCAGTTCAAACTAATTTGTGTAATTTTACTTCTGATCTTTTAAAAGAGGTAGACAAAGGCCAAGAAATTGACGCCATATACACAGACTTTAGTAGTGCATTCGACAAGGTTGACCACCAGCAACTCGTTAACAAACTTTCTCTGTATGGTATTGGTCCTTCCTTAATTGGATGGTTTAGATCTTATTTGGAGAAGAGATCTCAAATTGTAGTTGTTAATGGATTTGAATCTAAACAGTATCAAGCTCAATCTGGGGTGCCTCAAGGTTCGCATCTGGGCCCTCTATTATTCTTGGCTTATATTAACGACATCACTACTGTGATCAAAAATTGTCGTTGCTCGTTATTTGCTGATGATTTAAAAATTTATAAACCAATAAAATCAGTGGACGATATAAATCTTATACAGGAAGATCTGAATAGAATATCCCATTGGTGCGACGTCAATAGTATGACTCTTAATGCTAACAAATGCTTCCATGTAAAATACACCAGAAAAGTAAAACCGCTTGTCTCTAGTTATTCAATTGGTAATGTAGTTTTGCAAGAGATACCGGAGATTAAAGACTTAGGAGTAACTATTGACAGAAAGCTAACCTTTAAATCTCATATAAACACTATTGTTAAGAAAGCCGCGAAGTTCTTAGGATTTATTAAGCGCAATACAAAGGGATTTTCATCTGGGACTAAAATTATTTTATATAATGCTTTTGTAAGAAGTGTCCTTGAATTCGCTAGTGTCATATGGAATCCATCTTCTAGTGTGCACTCCCAACGCCTAGAAAGTATACAGCGAGCCTTTACTCGACATCTTGCCTTTCATGCCAGTGGTATCTCACATAGGCAGCCTTACTATCAGCGACTGGATAAGTTTAAAATGATGTCTCTCCGAAATAGACGAGTTATTCTAGATTTGTGTTTTCTACATAAAATAGTACATAATAAAGTTAAGTGCAGTGAACTCCTCAACCGCATTTCATTTGCTGTTCCGCGTAAATATCCTCGTTGTCGCATCCAAAAAACATTTCATATTCCTTTCGCGAAAACTCATCTCGGGAGTCACGCTCCTATCGTGCGTATATGTGGAAAATATAACGAATTTTTTAAAACCATACCTGGCATTGACATATTTAATGACTCTTATATTGCATACAAAATTAAAATTACAAATCATTTATCATCTAGTTTCTGATACAAATTACATCTGCAATATAATATATCTTATACGTTAATTAAAAATATATATACTCCTGAAGAGAGTATAATATCCACCACATTCCCTTTTAAAAATTAAACCTGTTTTTTTATATTTAGTACTCCAAATTAACCCTAAATTGCATGACTCAATCTGTGAATGTTATGTACACTTGTAATTGATATACATATCAGAGAGTACAGAAATGTGTATGTATTCGTAATTGTTATATATGTGTATTGTAAGTGTACTTGTTAAATAAAATAAAAAAATAAACACACGTCTACAATTAAGTTCAAAGAAAATGGGCGGCACCGCTAAGGACTAAGATACCTCACATTCTGTGAAAATAATCATTCTTCTAACTAAAATACACTAGTCGTTCAATATAATACTGCTTAGAAACAGGTGAGAGAGTAGTGCTCACAGAACAATAATATGTGGTTGTAGGTTCAATACTCAAACCAACATCTTGAGAGTAAAGGAATTCTAAAAATGTTCTGATCTAAAACCTCTGTTAACTATTTCAGGTGTCTTTGTATATCTTTATATAACAGTATTTAAGTCTACGCCAGATATCGGCAGAGCTGAGTCACCACCTGCGCAAGCCGGGCTTTTCCGTTCCCTCCTCGTGAGAGAGGAAATTGCTCATAATTTTCTACATTTCGTGATACTTTATTCTTTCTTTTTATAATAATTATCTGTAAATCTAGAAATTAAGCATGTGGTAATAACTAAAGAAATTAATTTTCTTTTTTATTTTAACTTTCTAAATTTCAAAAATTTTAACACAATAAGATATATTAATATAGGTTTAATATAGGTATATCATAAGCAAGGGTCCTACTAGGTCTAGGCTTGACGTCTCGGGATGCAAATACCAGCGCTCTTAAAAAAAAGTATAATTCTGCATCTAGGTCCTTCAAAAGTGTCATTATCAAGGCGAAGTCAGAGCACTATGGCAGATTTGTTGAATCAACCTTTGGGATTAAAATGATCGCTTCCAAGCTGTTTCTTAAATGAATTTTGTATATGAAAGTAAAACCGATCTTTAATTTTGTGTGTGTGTGTGTGTGTGTGTGTGTGTGTGTGTGTGTGTGTGTGTGTGTGTGTGTGTGTGTGTGTGTGTGTGTGTGTGTGTGTGTTTTGTATTCATCCGCGATTTTGAGAAAATGGAGTCTGCGAGATCAGCATACGCTGAGAATAGCTTTGTTAATTATGGAGTTAGGTTTACACGCAGTGTGCAAAGACAATTACTAGCCGAGACAGCTGCAGATGTGCGCCAAGTTTTATCTATGAGGATTTCTCACAAGGTGAGTATTTTATCTTATGAAAAACGAAGAACTCCACTGTACAATCTATCAACATATCTAGATTCAAACTTTAATGAGAAATATATCTCATTTTTGTTAATATCGATTCTATTCCAACAATATTATACTGATTTTTTAATGTATAACTTAGTTTTTGTACCGAATAATATGAGATATGGTACGATTTTTTTAGAAATAATAAGAAACGAAAACGATCCACAGACTCTAGAAACACTTAACGATTTATACATGTTTAAGTACTTAACTATTTTAAGTTTTTAAAAATACCAATAAATATCCCTTCATATTATTAACAAACTCATGCCTGCTATGGTTATAATTTTAACCTTTTGTTATGTTACACTGATAAATGTTTAATAGAATACCTATTAATTGAATTCTTTTAAAATTTTAGCCACAACATAGACTTTCCTCTTTATACTTACCAACTTACAAGTAAATTCTATGCAATTACTATAAGAATAAAGTCTGTAGTTTCAAACTATTTGGTAGCAAGAATATTATATAGTATAAATTCGTTTGTTTATCGTTACATTGTTCAAGTCGCTAGACAAAATTAGTAGAAGTTATATAAATGCTTTGATAATATACCTGCCACATTATCCGTACAGAACGGCCCAAATAATGTCTACTAAAATTGTTAGACTCGCTTCTCACATTCAAATTACACTGACGTACAGTGTAATTTGAATCACTTAGGGATACCTTTGTAACAGAAACTTTGAAAAAATTAAATTTAGTTATAAAAATATTAGGAGAGAGGGTTTTGATAATGGGGCAAACATGAAGGGACAGAATGTTGAGTTTCAAAAACGCATTCTTGACGTGAATCCGAGAGCTCTTTATGTACCATGTGCGGCTTATACTTTGAATTTAACAGTAAATGACGTTTCTAAAGTGTCAGATGCTACAATAAACTTTTTTAATCTTGTGCAAGAGTAATATAATTTTTTTCGTCATCCACAAAAAGGTGGGATATTTTGAGAAAAAATGTCCTTGGGTCAAGTTAAAGCCTCTTAGTGAGACAACATGGTCCATCAGAGTTGATTCAATAAAGCCCCTTAAAATTTATTTAATTATTGTTTGCGAAAGTCTTCTAAAAGTAGCTGAAGATAATTCCTTTCACATTGATGCAAGACATAAAGCGAGTTCCCTCTTAACGTCTGTACAAAAATTTCAATTTATTTGTGGAATTATTATTTAGCATGACGTTTTATTTCACATAAATATTGTCAGCAAACAAATGCAAAGTGCTACAATTAATATTAAAGTATGCCAAACCTACCTAAAAATTTAGTTGAACACTTCCGGCAATATAGACCCGACCAATCGTTTGAAGAAATTCTTGTACAAGCGAAATAAGTAGCACACTCTCTCGAAATTGAAGAAGACTTTCCACAGTTACCAACGGTCAGGAGAAAATTCAAACCAAACTATTTGACTATGAACACCGAGATGAGACCCGTCGTGATCCAAAAACTGTCTTTAAAATTAGTTTAAAAAAATATAGATCAAACATTAAGCTCTCTAAAAACCGATGTGACTTATTAAATTAGTATGACAACATTTTCGGATTTAAGCAATATATTCAAATTAAGTGAGAGCGATATTTTAAAAAAATTGTTCCGTTCTTGAAGAACAACTGACATACTCCAATGATTTTTTGATGAAATTAAAGCGTTATGGTTGTTTCTATTACCTAATCATACTGACCTGATCCCTTAATTATTTTACAATATATATTTGAAAATAATTTAATCTCCACCTTTCTAAACGTAAGCATTTCACTAAGAATTCTTAGGACATTACCTGTATCTGTAGGACATTGCTTGGTATCGAAGGTTGTTGGTTGCGTGTTCAGATCACGTCGGGTGTTCACCACTGTGGCCGAAGAAGGAAAAGGGGAGATCTCCCGCCGAGCAAGGTGTTCGGTCCGGGGAGCGGCTAACACTCCGTGTGATAGTTCGGAGATGTTCTATATATACTGTTTATGATTCGGAATTTTGATAGCTAGATTTAGGCTACGGTGTGATTTGCTTGTGGCGCGACGACAGCGCCGCTACATACACCTATACGTCCCTGAAACGACCAACAGGGTTTTTGTTACATACCGTATATAAGTACTACTTTCTACTAATACTAAGATATTTTAAAAAATATGCAATATGCTATGCAGATACTTCTGATGAAAAATACCTAGGTAACTTCGTTATTAAATCAAAAATGATAGCTAGGTACAATAGAAAAATAAAAAAAATAGCTATTGTAGCAGCGATATTTTCCGTGAATTTGCTACTGCAAATTCATTAATTACATCGCTAAAATTATACCATCTAACATTTCTTGTTCAATTGCTAATATCGCTAGTCCAGACAATGTTTCTTGGAGCATTGTCGATCTAAAATATTTTTAATGATTTTTAACTTTGAAAAAGATCGCTGGCCAGAAGCTACAGATACAGGTAATGTCCTAAGAATTTTTAGTGAAATGCTTACGTTTAGAAAGGTGGAGATTAAATTATTTTCAAATATATATTGTAAAATAATTAAGGGGTCAGGTCATTATGATTAGGTAATAGAAACAACTTTAACGCTTTATTTTCTTCAAAAAATCATTGGAGTATGTCAGTTGTTCTTCAAGAACGGAACAATTTTTTTAAAATATCGCTGTCACTTAATTTGAATATATTGCTTAAATCCGAAAATGTTGTCATACTAATTTAATAAGTCACATCGGTTTTTAGAGAGCTTAATGTTTGATCTATATTTTTTTAAACTAATTTTAAAGACAGTTTTTGGATCACGAGGGGTCTCATCTCGGTGTTCATAGTCAAACAGTTTGGTTTGAATTTCCTCCTGACCGTTGGTAACTGTGGAAAGTCTTCTTCAATTTCGAGAGAGTGTGCTACTTATTTCGCTTGTACAAGAATTTCTTCAAACGATTGGTCGGGTCTATATTGCCGGAAGTGTTCAACTAAATTTTTAGGTAGGTTTGGCATACTTTAATATTAATTGTAGCACTTTGTATTAGTTTGCTGACAATATTTATGTGAAATAAAACGTCATGCTCAATAATAATTCCACAAATAAATTGAAATTTTTGTACAGACGTTAAGAGGGAACTCGCTTTATGTCTTGCATCAATGTGAAAGGAATTATCTTCAGCTACTTTTAGAAGACTTTCGCAAAGAATAATCAAAAAAAATTATAAGGGGCTTTATTGAATCAACTCTGATGGACCATGTTGTCTCACTAAGAGGCTTTAACTTGACCCAAGGGCATTTTTTTCTCAAAATATCCCACCTTTTTGTGGATGACGAAAAAAATTATATTACTCTTGCACAAGATTAAAAAAGTTTATTGTAGCATCTGACACTTTAGAAACGTCATTTACTGTTAAATTCAAAGTATAAGCCGCACATGGTACATAAAGAGCTCTCGGATTCACGTCAAGAATGCGTTTTTGAAACTCAACATTCTGTCCCTTCATGTTTGCCCCATTATCAAAACCCTCTCTCCTAATATTTTTTATAACTAAATTTAATTTTTTCAAAGTTTCTGTTACAAATGTATATATCCCTTTCCATGTAGAGTGCAGTATTGGATTAAACGCAATAAAACTCCTTAACTTGAATCTTTTTTGAAGTTGTGTTAAGGACAGCATACCTCAGAACAAGACAAATTTGCTCAATATGACTAGTGTCTGGCGTACAATCTAATATTATTGAAAAATATCTTGAACTGCGAACTATTTCTAAAATATTATTTCTTACTTTAGACGACATTAATTCAATTATTTCATTCTGTATTTGCACGCCTAAATAATGAGTCATTTTAACACATTTTGTTTGGAAGTTACACACTCAGCTAACGTACTCATCACTGAATCAAAAGAGGCAATCATCTCAACAGCTTTTCGAAAATTTATAATGTTCGAAAAGAAATTTCGAAGAACCTTGAAATGCCAAGCATTGTGTAGATAAATACTTAATAATCGAAATAATTATTTCCAACACGTTGCGCTATTATTTTTTTTTTCGTTTCTAAAATCAACATTTTTTTAAATTTACCCAAGTGTTTATATAACTATTGTGTAAAATTGACGTTTCGTGTCTCTTTATTAGCATAGACAAGTGTTGCCAATCGGATAAACCATTTGTATCACAAAAAGTGTTAGGAGTTTACAAAACAACTTACAATAAAAACAAAATACAGTGTCTTTAGAAATAGATCTTTAGAAATAGAATATAAATAAGCCAAGTCCCTTCGGCTTTTTCTCCATTTGCTAGCCTTCTTGCAAAGTATTTGCACGAAAACTTTCTATTATCTTTATTACTAGGAAAGCTTAAACTGATGTCTATCAAGGGCGGACCACGTTTAACCAATATTCTAGCTATCTCAGTGGTGAGTATTTCGGGCCACAAACCGAGGTCGGATGGAATTATATAAGCTAGCCATATTAAAGCCTTCATCTAAAGTGTCACTTGCAACAGGTATTTCGGTAACTGACATTCTCGAACTTCTTACACAAGATGAATTACCTGAAGTGGATTGTTCAAGTTCTGTAGACGAGGATGGTGTCATCACTTCATCGGGATATGTATCAGTAGTAGCTGTTTTGCTGCTACAACCACCGCCACTTGTTGCAGGACCTGATGTTACCGTAGTCACCTCTGTTGAAATTTCAGATGGTCCACTCACCACTACTGATATTACGGATTTAGAATCTTGAGATTTGGTTGCATCGATAGTCTCCGAGGAATTTTCATTGTTTTGCAAGAAGTGCCATTTTTTCTCTTTCTTGTAGTATCAGTTTCTTTTGCTCGCGAAACTTCACACCTGAAGGTCTCTTTTTTATCCTAAAAAAAATAACTAGTACTTATGGGAATTAGGAATTAAAGTACTCACTATAATAAGCACCAAGTTTGCATATTGCATATTTAAGTAAAAAGCAATTTGTTTGAGCCCTATCAGCTTAAACCCTCTCATATATAAAGGCAGAAAAAATATTAAAATAATTTGATCTTATAGCCCTTAAAAACCTACAAAATGGTCTTTTTAAAAAGCGTAGCATAAAAAATAAGCGAGTTATGGATAAAAACTAATTACTTTTTTAAACTTGTACAGAGTCTTTGACTATATTTACGTGCTTCTTAGAGCATTTATTATGTCAGATAGAAAAGAATGTTTTGTGCAGAAGTTGTAGGTTTTTCTTATATTATCTATGAAAGTTATCAGATAAAGACAGGAAGCAGACAGGAACAGAAAATAGGGTTAATGTTGATAGTATAAAGTAAAGTAGGTAACACCATTTTATAAAAACCAAACCGTTGAAATTGCAGTCATCAGGTATTCAGCACTTAAATTTTTTAGAAAAAGAAAGTAGTAAACAATATATTATACAACACAACACTTGACAAAATAAAAATATATTTAAATGTAAAAATTAAAAGGATTACTTGTTTTTATGCACTTGTTGCACGGTCCAGTGAACTAACCTGTTTAAAAACGCCTCTTTTTTTCTTTTTTTGCGCCCGTAGCAAATATGGGCAACCCTCCGGAAAGCGGGGGAGGGAGGTGGGTAATGCTCATAGCATACCACGCAGCCGGCTGCGTGGTTATGTGGAGACTTTTACCCACTAAACCCCACCTTTTAGGGACTAGTTTAACGGTCTAACTAGAGATCTCTAAGACGTATACGGACGCGACCCTCCTTGGCAGAAAGGAGGGCGCAAGCGGCGAAAAGCCGCTTAGAAGTGTGCCTAATTAAGGCAGATTAAGGGATGTGTTATGTAGGCTCGGCCTGAGCCACCAGGAGGCAGTTCAGGTCAGCCGAAAGCTTGTTGAGGGTGTCCGAGAGAAAGTTTCTCAGTCTGCGCACACTACACCGAGTGTGGATAGGGGCTGCATAGGCAGCTGTCTCACGAATTAGATGATTTTGGTGGGACTCTGAGGCTTTGAAAAATCTCTCAGAGAGTGATTTAAGGAACTGCTGGATTGTTAAGAGCTCTAAGTCTCGGTGTAGGTCGGCATTACGGACATAATAGGGCGAGTTAGTGGCCCTACGACAGAATAGATTTTGAACTATTTGAAATTCATTTACAACTTTGGATTTAGCATGTGCGAAAATTGGGGGTAATCGCCTCTGGCGATGCATTGCTTTTATAGCGCTCCGGGCGTTGTTCATGGCTGAACAGGAAATATCAAGAAACTACCGCCTGACATGTTCTCGCAACATAGGAATCGGCAGTAACTGGATGATATACTAATAAAATTTCGTGTGTATTTATACCTAATCCTATTTAATTTTTCAACTTTTATTTTAAAATTATTTTTTTTTTTGGAAATTTTTGCAATGTTTGACCCTGGGTTTTGGCGCCCCTAAAGGATGGCGCCCGTGTCCATTGCACACTTTGCACATATGGTAGCGGGGCCCTGCTATCCTATAATGAATAATCTTAAAATAATGATTGCGTTGCATATTACCAAACATTAAAATTTCACTTATTGCATCAATCGATTTAAACGAAGTTGAAAGATGATTGTTGCATATTTAATTTATTAAACCACAGTTCTAATGTTGTAACCCCAATTACCATAACAGATATTGATTTGGAATCATTAAAATTAGCGGCATATAAATTAGATAGTTTAAAGAATCAAATTCATCAAGCCGAGAATCCGCCTCATATTGTTAAATACGGGCATTATTATTCAAAGTTATTATTATTAATATTGTTAAATAACAAAATTATGAAATTCGTTTCATCCATTATTTTTATATTTTTAAACAAGTTCCTTAGTAATTATATATATATATATATATATATATATATATATATATATATATATATATATATATATATATATATTACTTTATAATATAGCCATTAAAATTCATTCATTTCTATTTCAAGTTTTTATATTTTCCTTATTATTATGTTTTTTAATTGTTAATTGAATAAAATCAGTAGCAAAAGGTGTCTTTTCTAAAACGAACCCTAGGCGAGCCATATTTACAGTAGCCGTTAGTAAAAAGAATTAACAAGAGCATATAAAAATTTGCGACAAGGTTTTTCTCACCACGAAGACGCCGTATTCCAAGCACGAAGTTTGTAAGTAAGTATGAACTTCCTTACTAATTTCATGCTTTGAATACACATAATATCTTTGTTTTATCTTTGTTAAATGTTAGCTTTAATACAGTTCCAACTTTAACGTACAGATTGTTTCAAACCACTATGCACTGAAGTAATGCTAAACATTTCTCGTATTCATATTAAGTGTTCTTTTAACATACAGACTCCCATAAATTGTTTTATAGTTAGAGTTTGTAGTAGTGCGTAGTTTTCTAAGGTAGCAAGAACAATTTGAAGTGAATCTAGTATTACAACTGAGGAGCGTTACTCGTGCTGTCAGTATTTTATTTATTTTGTGAAATTTCGTAAATTATTTTAGGACTTATAAAAAAATACGTTACGTCAATCTACTTATATAAAAAATATTTCGTATAGTTAAGTTTTTGTAACTATTATAATATTATATCATACAATGATATATATCAATGACATATATCAATGATATAATCAATATTATATCATTGCATATATTCTTATATAAATGTACTTTTGCCGCGCAGTGACTACGTAAAAGAATCCACTACCCCATGTCATCCCACGAGTGTCCTAAGAGGCGACACATTGAAAGGAAACAGGAGATGGGCAGCAACATTTTTTTAAAACAACTCAAAATAATACAAAACTGTGATCGCCAGCCCAAACGTCTGTCTAGCATGGTACCTGTGTCAATTATATAAGAGTATATTTTATTAACGGATTTTGTGTGCCGCGTAGTGGCGGTGTAAATATATCCACTACCCCATATCGTCCCGTGGGTGTCGTAATAGGTGGCAGAGAGAAACAACTAGAAGAGGGGCAGCAACTTTTTCCTAATAACAACTAGAAAAATAAAAACTGCGGTTTACGTCTGCCAAATATGGCAAATATGGCAAAATCCCCCTATGTGTAATTGTAAAGGTAGGTCTTTGTTCAACAGTGGAGTTTTTTTAGACTGTGATGTATGGATCTTTTGTGGAGGACTTTAGAAAGGTTGCAATGCATGAACGAGCGAACATTGTTTTCAGAATAAAATTAAAAACGTGAATCAGTAATGAAGTTTAGTTAACGCCGGAAGCAAAATCCAGTTATGTCAGCATACGACAAACACGTCTCAGTGCAGAGCCGTGTACGTAATTGAAAACAAGCAACCGGTAGCTGCTGTGAACAAAGCCACCTAACGATACTGTGTGTTTTGTTAAACGCACCCGCAGTGTGAAACATGATGATATAGTATAGAGTGTGATACTTTTCAAGGTGATTGGCATTTTTTATGAGTAAAAAATACTTGTCAGTTTTGCAGTTAAATATAAATAATATCTAATTTCTGGAAGGGTTGCTGGATATTAATTACTCTCATTTAAACACCATTTTACTAAGTGGAAAAACTACTTTTTTGTGTAGAAGATCCTTTAAGCAGTCACCATTCTCTTACCTGTTTCTGTTGCCAAAAATCAGTGTACACACTGACTTATTCCGAATTAAAGGGTATAATTAATATACTGATAGAGAGCCAGTGTAATTACAGGCATTCCCATCTTAGGGACAAGAAGTCACTACGCAACTGTAACCTTTCTTATTTGAAGTTGGACTGTAGGTACGCACAGTAAGTGTGAATCAAGTGAATCAGGTAAAATCATTACAAAATTTTAAAAATGAGAGTCTATACATTCAATATAATGGCTATATTAATAGTCGCCGTGACAAAAATTTAGGGATAAAAACACTACTGGGCTAAATTCAAATAACATATTTAGAAAAAAAACCGGCATTGGTAATGTAATTATTTTGAATTTAATTTTAAGCAAAAATCTAACATTTTATTTTTTAAACCTTTATCTGTAATGGACATTTATGGTAACATCATAGAAAAAAATTTAACAAACGAAAAGATAATATTAGTAACAGGACTTTAAAGATCATCACTATCTGTCAGTTTTTGAGATTTATTTTTGAATCTTTACAATTTGAAAAGTAAATGACCGAGATTATTTTCTATCTACTTGGATGTATTGACCGTTTCCGGCTTGACGTTGATTTCTGCGATACCTTGTATATGAAGATAGTGTGCGTGCGTGCGTTCATGCGTGCGTGCGGCGTGCGTGCGTGCGTGTGTGCTTGCGTGCTTTCATGCGCGCGCGCGCGGCGTATGTGTGTGTGTGTGTGTGTGTGTGTGTGTGTGTCGCGTGTTTGTGTGTCGCGTGTTTGTGTGTGTGTGTGTGTGTGTGTGTGTGTGTGTGTGTGTGTGTGTGTGTCGCGTGTTTGTGTGTCGCGTGTTTGTGTGTGTGTGTGTGTGTGTGTGTGTGTGTGTGTGTTGTGTATGTTTGTGTGTCGCGTGTTTGTGTGTGTGTGTGTGTGTGTGTGTGTGTGTGTGTGTGTGTGTCTGTGTTTTTTGTGTGTGTCACGTGTTTGTGTGTTTTTATTGATTATTTACTAGCATTATCGTTTCATTATTTTATAATCTTAAGCTATTTTCAAGATTTTGTTGAAGAAAAAAGAAATAACCAGCAGTAAAATAGAAATAAAGGCAGTATTTTGTACAAAATATTTTAATTAAACAGCCGACAAAATTTTTAAGGATTTCTTATATTTACGCGAACAGTTCATATTTAAATAA